CTGAGACACCTAAAAATTTACTCGTTTTTCAGTGCCTATTTATATTTCTTGTTAAGGTTTATTGGATGACAAGAAAGTCTTTTCCATAAATTTTCATACAAACTAAATATACCAAATGTGTTGAACAAGTTTCAAACGAAAATTTAATAACGTTAAGTGTGTTGACATTCATCTGGGCTAATTTTGTTTGTACCCAAAATTTAAAGGGTATTAGCCAATCGGTAGTGGTTTGATTTTTATTTGACTGATGCATCGTACATCGATATCGACATAACAGAATCGGTGCTGTTGATTTGATTAGTGAAAAAAGTAATTGGGAGTAATTAGTTAAACACAAGTTCTATTGTTATTTTTTAAATTTAGGATGCTTTCTAGTAACGTATATATCAATTGACTGTTTATTATCTAGTAATGATAAAATTATCTGTAGAACAAGTATTACTTGCAGTTCTTATACTGATTATGCCAAAACATGAACTTATTTGAATCGGGCACTAACGCTAGCAATTTTTATTAGATGTTTCAAATAATAGCTGTAACCCGGAATATAACCCGGAGTTCATAGAATGGATTGGTAGATCTACCCGTGACTTACCATGATAATTGGCCAATTAAAATGCATAATTTTTAAGATCAATCGTTTAAAATGAAAAGAACTTCATATAGAAAAGTTTGCAAACTAATACATACATACACACAAAAAAGAATGCTACATTTTAGAAATAATGTAAATTGATATTTATTACTAATAAATCTATGTCAAACCAATCAAAAATTCAACGTACTGTAATTAATGAAACAATAATATACATATTATCGATCTACTACTTAACCCAAAGTAATATTTACTAATCTTGTATAATTTTATATAATATTCGGAATACGTAAAATATACAGTAAACATTAGTATAAAACTATTATTATTATAATATATAGTATGTTAAACAGTATACTCAAAGATCTTTAAGTTTAAAGCTTCTATATAATGTCTCAATCTTCTTTTTTCTGTTGTTCGTTTTTGGCATTTAAAACTTACATATAGTTAATATAACTAGTACTAGCAAGTATATAATAAAAATATTCGCTTCTAAGAAAAGTATGCGAGGAGTAGGATCTTTTAGAGATTATTTTGCACAGTGAATACTGACATTGCTTCGAAGTTAGAAATAGCTTTTGCGATGATTTTTTATTAGTGAAACGTTATGTTCTCAAAGTGTATAAATAAGTTACCCGGGCAATTAATTTGCTTCAACCAATCAGATGAATGTCTTTCCATGAACCTGCTAGAGTATAACCCAGAATATAACCTGGAGAGTATAACCTGGAGTATAACCCGGAATATAACCTGGAGTATAACCTGGAGTATAACCCGGAGTATAACCCGGAGTATAACCTGAAGTATAACCTGGAGTATAACCTGAAGTATAACCCGGAGTATAACCCGGAGTATGACCTGGAGCATAACCCGGAGCATAACCCGGAGCATAACCCAGAGCATAACCCGGAGCATAACCCGGAGTATAACCCAGAGCATAACCTGGAGTATAACCCGGAGTATAACTCGGAGTATAACCCGGATCTGCTCTATATGGAGTAACCCGGGTTATAAGAAATAAATCTGCTCCGGGTTACTTTATAATTTTAAAAATCTCAACCCACTCCAACTCTAGACTGGAGTATAACCCGGGTTGCTCCGGAGTATATTGCTCCATTAACAACCCTACTGATACTCCGTCGTATATACATACATTGTGCGTATTTAGGCCAGGTAAGGTTAAATGTAGATGTGGGCATGAGTTAATTGACTGATTTTGGTTAGGGACTAATTTCAGCCGGGGCGCCCGGTCGAAAAATGGCACTTTGAGATTGTGCCCTGTCTCGCAAATAAGTTATACATAACGATAAGCCTTGCAAGGTAATACAGATAAATTTTGCAGAATTTATTAGATTGGAAAAAATTATCTACCGGATACGTAATAATAAATTTTTTATCGCATTCACATTGCTTATATATTCTATCCGCCACCTTTTTGCATGTTTTGCAATACAGGTGTGAATGATGATTGCATTCGTCACAAACCTTACACCCGCGCTTCCACCCTCTATAGATAAGCCACTTCTCGATATAATTTTGTTTATCTTTACGTATGAGTATGTTATTCGGATATTTTTTCATTGTTATACGTTAACAGAAAAAATATAACATAGTCAATAATATGTGGCAATTGCGCCCTCACCTACAAATAATTTTTGCATAAGCCGGGATTATTTATACATAGAGAATTTTTTTATATACCAAATATAAACATTTTTGTACCATATAACTAATTTCATTTTTTATATAGAACGCAAAACTTTACGTACATGGACTGAAAATTATTACATTAAATTTAATATATGGCGCAGTAGTCACGTGAGTGTGACCTTCGAGGTCACGTCCACGTGACTTATACGATTGATTCTGTTGGGGTTTTATCTGGAATTTGATGGTTAATTTAGAGATCATCAATGCGGCAAAAGACTTCACCCGTCACAGAATTTAAATAAATAACCGATATTATAGTATAATGGAGGTTTGGTTACCTGTAGCACATTCAGATAAATTAGTATCTAATCTTGGTCATATAAAGAACAATAAAGGTGTGGTTTTAAAAGGCAATATCTGCAAAAGGAGTGGTTATGTAAAAACAGATATTAACACTAATGGTATTCGAAAAATTATTAGTATCCATATTTTAGTCGCTCGAGCCTTTATTCTTAATCCAGAAATTAAGCCTTATGTTAACCACATAAATGGAATTAGACATGATAATCGAGTTGATAATTTGGAATGGGTAACTCCTAAAGAAAATGTCAAACGTATAGTATTTCGGAATACTGGTCGTAAGCACAGAAAAATCGTGCAAAAGACATTGGAAGGGAACGTTGTTCAGGTTTGGGATTCTATTCGTCTTGCAGGCAATACACTTAAAATTATAGGCACAAATATTTCGAAATGTTGCAGAGGAAAGCAAAAAACTGCTGGTGGCTGGTTATGGATGTATTATGAAGATTATGTAGAAAAAGATCCCAATGAAGAATGGAAAGAGATAGAGCTTAATTCACGAAAATTCCGAGTTTCATCTTTAGGCATGGTTCAGCTTGCCAGTGGTGTTATCACCCAGGGATCATTAAACTTAGGATATCTCAAGGTTAACGGACATCTTGTTCATCGTTTAGTGGCGTTAGCATTTTGCCCCAAAGAAGAAGGCAAAGAATATGTGAATCATATTGATAATGATTCCGCTAACAATAAAGCGTCCAATCTTGAATGGTGTACACCAAAAGAAAATGTGCAACATGCAGTGCGTCTCATGCTTCGGAATGGCTGGATGCGTCAACGTGCTGTCAAGCAAATTTTAGAGGATGGTTTTGCTCGAGAATTTCCGTCCTTAGCTGAAGCACGACGAATAACTGGAATTGATGAGTCCAGTATTAGGAAGGTTTGCAGAGGACTTCAAACACATGCTGGGGGTGTCGTTGGGAATATGTGAACACAATATCGCATAATGATCATGAAGATTTTTCACAATAGTGTAGTTATCGAATGTTGCGTGAAATTTATTTTTTTTCAGAGATCGCGAAACATACATTTATGATGCACAAATCAGGCGAGACATGACTTGTATTGCCATTGAGACAAACATATTCCAACTATTATTGATATACTGAGATTTCTAACAAATATTAATAATAGAAAGCCTACAAAAAATCAATTAGGATCATTTACCAACAGAAAGAAGGTGATAGGCATATATGGATGATGAAAGAATAAGGCTAATACGTTTGAACTATCACACCCTTAGTTCTAATGTTTTGAGGATTTATTCTTATTGAATTAAGTATTGATTGGATTTGATTTCCATTTGATTTTTTCGTTTACTGTGCAAGCGAATAAAAAGACTAATCAGTGAAACATATCTCATTTTTATTTGTTTTGCAGTCCAGGAAATGAATTCGGAATTTTTACGATCATTTAACAGGTATGGAAATTCCGGGCGTAGTTGTCTAATTATAGACACTGCAACAGAAAGTCGCGAATATGTAATTGCGAATTGTAATAACAAGTATCAAAGAATTTATCCTTATTTTTAGTCCCCATAATTATTGTAATGAAAATCGAATCCCTAAATTTTTCAACTGGAAGGCAAATCTGATTAACAGATTAACGGATTAATACAAATTAATCCTATTGCCCCACAACATGTAAAAAAATGATTTTTGAAGATCTACATACACTCTCTCCCGACCACATCAGTCGAGGAAGAGTAAATATTAACAAGGCACAATACATAAGAATATTCACACAAGCAAGTCTCGGGACAACAAGGAAATAGGGGCTCTTGCCCTCACTGCAGGGAAAAAAAGACGCAGAGAAACACCTCCAGAACCCACTTGTGAAGGCAGTATGGGGAAAAATAAAAAAAAAGCGAAAACAACTGACTTGGTCGAAAAAGAAAATCAAGAGACACCAATACAAAAGACACCTCCACACAATATCTCAAGTCAGAGTGAAAACGATAAGACATGCCAGAAAGATGTGACAAGTACTGCTTTAACCTGGGACGACAAGGTGGAGCAAGACTTACAGGTGTTAAAAGACTGTACGAACATGCAAACGGAGAAGAATACAGAAGAAGAACACGTACCAACA